CCAGGTCAAACATCGGTTAATCCACAGACACAACAGTCGCCTCCAAGGCCTCCGAGTCATGTGCAGGATCAACAGACGCCATCGGCCTATGCCCAGCAGGCAGGATTGAAGACCTCTCCTGGATTTGGCTCCGTCAGCGTGGGTGCCGCCAGCAGCAAGCAAAAGAAGAACCGCAAGTCACCTGGACCCAGTGACTTTGAGGGCCGTGTATCGCGCGAGGATGTACAGAGTCCGGCCTACAGTGATATCTCCGATGACTCCACGCCAGTAGCCGAACAGGAAATGCTGGACAAGTCGGTCGGCCAGGCGGTGACGGCAAAGCATATCGAATTGATGGGCAAGAAGCCAACGGAAGTGGGCGTTGGTGTACCGCCCGCCCCGGCACCCAACATGTATGTGCCGGGAATGTATCAGTTCTATCCGGCGCAGCAACAGTCAGCACCTCCACCACAACAGCAGCAGCAACAGCCGCAATACATGGTGCAGACAGAGCCAGGCAAACCACCAGGACTGCCACCTGCTTTGACACAAGCTCAGCAGCAGCAGCAATTGCAGCCGGGTGCTCCTCCGCCTACCTCACTTGCTCAGCCCCCGAGTCACTTGCTAGGTCCTCCTGGCCAGCAGTCGGTGGCCGCCCATCTGGCAGACTACAGCGGCAAGAACAAGGATCCACCATTGGATCTGATGACCAAACCGCAGCCGCAGCCGGGTCAGCCGCCTTCTCAACAGCAGCAGCCGGGCCAAATGTCGGGCCAGGAAAACAATGGCAAGGAGGTTGGACCGCCCACCTCGCAGCCAGGATCTCAGCCGCCGCCGGTCAACCTCAGTGCAGTGGCTGGGCCGCCGCCAGGAACCCTGCCACCCGGTTTGGGTGGTCTCTCGGCTTTGGGAGCAGCCGGTCTAGGTGGTCCTGGACCGGGTAAAGGCATGCCCCACTTCTATCCCTTCAAGTAAGTGTTTGCTCAATCGCTATTTCAGGGTCAGTTGCCATAGCATAACTAACCAATCGTTTACCTCTTAGCTTTATTCCGCCTGCGTATCCATACAATGTGGACCCCAACTTTGGGTCAGTTTCAATTGTTGCTTCAGAGGAGGCCGCCAAACTGAGTGGACATCCTGGTCTGCCACCCAGCTCACAAGCGCAGCAGTTGTCCGGAATAAGCATCAAGGAGGAGCGTCTCAAGGAGAGTCCGAGTCCGCACGACCAGCCGAAGCACATGCCACCTCAGCAGCAGGTAAGTCCTTTTAAACTGCATCATATTTTGGCTAAACTAATGCAATATCATTTTAAATTCCCCGTAGATGATAGCGAGCAAGCTGATCAAGCAGGAGCCGATGACCAAGCAGGAGATCAAGCAGGAGCCAAACTCAAATCCGGGCCAGCAGCATCCGCCTCCGCAACAGCAGCCAGCGCCTCAGCCGCAGCAACAACAGCCGCCACCCCCGCAGCCACAACAGCCGCATGCACTGCATCCCAAGGATCTACAGGCACTGGGCGCCTATCCCGCCATTTACCAGCGCCATTCCATGAGCTTGGCCGTGCAGCAGGCTCGCGACGAGGAGCTGAGACGGTAAGTGAAATATACAACTTGAAAGGGTAGTAAGGAATGCGAAGGTGGGAAACTAACATGTGTATCCTTTTGCATCAGGTATTACATGTTCACGGGACGGCAAAATCAGGCAGCCGTCGCTGCTGCTGCGGCAGCTCAAAACGCTGCCAGTGGAGGTCTTCCACCCCATCCCGGCATGATGCACAAGGATGAACCCGGCATGGGATCGGCGCAGCAACAGCAGCAGCAGCAACAACAGCAGATGCAAATTGCCCAGCAGCAACAGCAGGCCATTCAGCAGCATCATCAGCACCTGCAGCAGCAGCACCAGGCCCAGCAACAGCAGCAGCAACAACACCAGCAGCAGCAGCAACAGCAGCAACAACAACAGCAGCAGCAACAGCAGCAAAAGTTGAAGCAGTCACAGGCGGCTAGTGCGGCGGCCAATAATAAGGCCACCAACTTGACGAAGGATTCCCCCAAACAAAAGGGCGGCGATGACGATCAGCCGCTGAAGGTGAAGCAGGAGGGCCAAAAGCCGACCATGGAGACGCAGGGCCCGCCACCACCACCAACGTCGCAGTACTTCCTCCACCCTTCATACATTTCCCCGACGCCCTTTGGGTTTGATCCCAATCATCCGATGTATCGCAACGTGCTGATGTCAGCCGCCGGGCCGTACAATACGGCACCGTACCACCTGCCCATCCCTCGCCCATACCATGCCCCAGAAGATCTCTCGCGAAACACCGGCACCAAGGCATTGGATGCTCTGCATCATGCGGCCAGTCAGTACTACACCACCCACAAGATCCATGAGCTCAGCGAACGGGCCCTCAAGTCGCCCACCAGCGGCAGCGGCCCCGTCAAGGTGAGCGTCAGCAGTCCCAGCATCGGGCCGCCTCAACAAGGCGGACCCACGAGCAGCGGCCCCGGATCCGGACCAGTTTCCGGCGTCCTCGGCCCCGGCAGCGGTCCCAACCAGCAGCCCGGCTCGGCACCTGGGTCTGCGGGCGGTGTGCCGCTGAACCTACAGCCACCACCCGGAGGAATGGGCCCGGCACCCGGCAGCAAGCCGGATCTGTCCGGCCCGAAAGGACATGGCGGAGTGACGCCCGGTTCGTCATTGGACGGCCACAAGCAGTCGATGCCCGGCGGTCCGCCACCGAACGGGCCATCGGGCAATGGAGCCGTGGGCGGAGTGGGAGGCGCTGCCGGTAATGGCGCAGCGGGTGGCGGCGGTGCAGGTGCCGCCGACTCACGCAGCCCACCACCGCAGCGCCATGTGCACACCCACCACCATACGCACGTCGGCCTCGGCTATCCCATGTACCCGGCGCCCTATGGAGGTGAGTCACAACACAGAGATCTAGTTCAGAATGCTGAATGCTAATCGTTTAAATTTATCATCCTAGCGGCTGTTTTGGCTAGCCAGCAGGCGGCTGCTGTAGCTGTGATAAACCCGTTTCCGCCGGGTCCGTCGAAATGAGATCCACTGAACGGTAACAACGAGAAGAAGGCGTATAACGTAAAGAACAACTAGTGTGTGGAGCGAAAAGTCATGGTGCCCGCCCCATAGTGCATTTGCTATTTTCTGAGATCCCCAGACAGACAGACAGACACAGAGTGGGAGAAGGATAAGGCTTTGTTCCCCGTTGGATTCCAACTTCTTCCCGTCGAAACCTGTCGCAGTCTTGGCTGCCTCCACGAATCCCTACGATGCTGATGCATCGGCGGTCGAGGAAGCGAGAGGAACACAGAATCGACTATTTATATGCATAAGTATTTTTTGATGTTTCGTTCGATGTGGTTAACTATAACTAGCCTAAGGTATCACTACTATTACCACATACAACCTATACATATATAAATATATATAGCATAACTACATATAGCGACTTTTTCCTAAGTGTATTTGCATCTGCATATAGATATCTATATTTATATTTATATCATACGAGAGAGGCGTAATCCGAACATGAACAAACAACAAACAAACAGATTACATGAAGCATAAACAAAAAGTGAAAAACGAATCAAACTCGATACTGTAGTGTGTTGATTTCTTTGTAAAAAATATATACTAAACGAAAGGGATATGAAATTAAGAAAAGAGCAAACTGTATGGATATTGTTTAACTAAATGATTAAATTATGCAAGTAGAACGTACAAGATTAGCATTTAGCGTGTGTATTAATTATCCTTATCTGTGTTGCGGATGGAGCTGCGCGGGATTTGCATCTAAAAGACAAATTGGGCGCGCCGCCCATTCAATTCTTATAAATATAAATATATATTATGTGTATCTAAATCTATATCTGTGTGTGTACTACTCGTATCCGTAGTTTCTACGTTATAAGTTCTCCGTGAATGACTACGATGAATTTTTCGGCCAGCAGCCGCACATTAATTTTAATTGTTTCTAAGCATCAATTTGTACTTTAAATATTTATACGCATATGCATATATGATATGATATCGATGGCGATGGCGAGATATATATGTAATTAAAGGATTATCTATGTGAATGTGGGTGTGTAGTAGTTCACTAGCCGCTTCATAGACTCTACACGCGTGATTTATGGCACTTAATGTTCTTTAGCCTAAGCCCCCAAAACTGAACGAGAATCCCGACCCTCGAAACTCCCGCTTCCTATCCCAAATACACATTGATTCTTTAGAATTTATAAATAAAACAAGTATTGAATGTAAATATACCTTAAAGCGAGTCTTTTGTATTGTAAATTAGTTCCGCTGATTGATTTGGTGGCCCTGCTTAGTGCTTTGCCACCAAGTTCGTGTTATAAACATTAATGCATCGTATTGTAATGTACTATATGTGTTGGCAGCATTTGCTGCGAACCGCAAACGAAATGAAAGCGAATTACCGATTAATAGGAATTTGAATTATGTCTTCATGTGTAGATCAGCGCGTGTTTTCCTTACATCCATTTAGAGTCGCTAGGTTTTTTGACATTCTCAATGCAATTTGTAATCAAATCATAGGAAGCATTTGACTCACGGATACAAACACACAACATTACAATTGAATGGGGTTTAACAAATTACCATAATGGCTTATGCAAAGGTACAAGCAGAGTTTTATACAAATTATGTATTTTAGAGAAGGGTGATGGAAAGATGAAGCGCATTGAATTGAATTCGAAACAATGAAATTGTATCTAAGCAAAGAATGTAATCCACAAAACGGCTAACTAAAGCTAAATCAAGCATTCAAATATGGACGAATATGAACAAAACACATAACTAGCGGCTAAGAAATTTCAACAAAATATAGTACACATATTTAAAGTATACAGAAAATTATAAAAAACAAAAACAGCTTTAGATGTGAATAAAAAATATGTAATTAAATCAAAACCTGCGCTCTTCAATTGATCCTCATTTGTTTGGGTCTAGGGGAATATCTAACTGATTAATAATAAACGTTATTGATGGGAATGAAGTCTTTTTTAATATCATAAGTTAGTAACGAATTAATCTAGTCATGTTTATGCACTGCCCAGGGGTATGATGAAGCTCATATAGTCCGCTGTGGCACCCCAAGCTGTGCGATTTGTCTGGAATATTATTATCCAAGCAGTCAGTACTATCAGCCAGAACAAAGTTCCCACTGCGGAGTATATAACATCTGGCGGAAGGAAGAAATTATGGAATATTGGATTATACTGCATAGGGATTAATCTATACTGTTACTTACATCTCTTTATCTGGCTCTGTTCAGAATATGGTGGCTTGTGGAAGGCCTCTGTGAAAAACCAGCAAACGTTTATGGCCCACACAAATGGCAGAAATGCAAAGCCAGCTAAGTTTAAGCAAAGCAGTGAGTAACTTGGTTAAAAACAATCCATTCATATTGGGTAGTAACTCTTACCAAAGAAGTATTTGCGACACAGCTCCAGTTTTCGCGGATTTGGTGCCTTCGATATGTCCATGATTAATCCTCTCCAGGTATGTGGGTGGGTGCTACTTTGTTTTCCAATGTGTTTGCGCCCCAAGGATGGTTTTTCGTACTTTAATGTTAATTTTAAGTGAATAAAGTTCAATGCCTTTGTTTGAAACACTGTCGGCACTCAATAGTTTTTATAATTTCACTTTACCTTTTGCTTTTGTTGATTTTTGTTTTAGTTTTTAGTCCATTGAAGCGCAATCGATATCGATATGCTATCGAAACAGAGGTGGGCTAAACTGTGACTTTTTGATCACTGTTTCCTTTGCCAAAATCTAAAGTAAATAATGAAAAACTATAGTTTAGATGCTTTACTACACTTGCACGTTACGTGCGAATTATTATTTTTAATATCTTGTGTTCTTTGCTTAAAACGCCAACTAAACTGTTACATATTAAACCCCATCAGTGTTGCAAAACCCCCAAAACCGGACGGTCGATAGGTGACCCTGTCCCATCACTATTTTAGCACACACCGCGTAAAAGCGACGCCGATTTCAATTTTCAACGAAAAACGAAAAGTGTGATAAAGACCAGGATACGATGGGTGACGTAGACGATTTTGATTCGCTGTCCAATGCGGAGCTGCGCGCCAAGATGCTGGCCCAGGGGCTGCCCAACATCCCCGTGACGGACAGCAGCCGGAAGGTGCTAGTGAAGCGTCTGCGCGCCTCCATTGGCGGCCAGGCGTCGCCGGCTCCCAGTCCCAAGAAGAGCAGCAGGCGGGAGACCCTGGCTCCCGCAGCTACGGCTCCATCTGCTCCGGCGGCAGCCTCCACGCCGGTGGACAAACTGGATGGCAACAAGGTGGCAGCCGCCACAAAGGCTCGCCGCACATTGACCACTGCAGATGGCAAGGAACCAGAGCGTCGACGCCTCGAGGAAGCCGAACGGCGTCGCCCCGAGGAGCCTGTGGCCGCCAGAAGGCCAACAACTGCTACTGCTGCTGCTGCTGCTCCTCAACCCATACAGACCCGGCGCACTTCCACCACTTCCTCTGGGCCTGAGAGAAAGGTAGTAGAGACCTCGAGAAAGCCACAAACCATTGTCGAGGAACCGGCTTCGTCGAAGCGCGCCGATAGGGAGGAGAAATACCTTCTGGTCAACTCCCTAATTGTCCTTGAGTCCGATGACGAAGAGGACGAGCAGCTAGTCCAAGCTGCAGATCTGGTGGAGCAGCAGCACGCGGCCAGGCAGAAGACCGCGAAGCTCGCAAGCAGCGGGACCACAACCTACGAGTACAAAAGCAAGGTTGTGGAACCTCCACGCCGACAGGTGTATGAAAGCACAGCAGCTCCTGTGTTGCCTCCACCTGTGCCATCTGCCAGAGCGCAGGCCGCCAGTTCCGCTAGGTCCTATGACTATGGGAGCAATGCAGCCCCCGGTCGCTATAGCAGTTTTGTGCGTACTGCATCCCAAGGCTATGTGACTGCCGAGGCTCCATCGGTGCCCTCCTACTCATCCAGCTATAAGCGTACCTATGCCAACGAGTTGAGCGACGACAATGAGGCGGAAGAAGATCAGTACGAAAGCACTTTTGCCAGGAATCTAGCTCGTTTGAGAGCCGAACGCATTGGAGATCGCAGCAGCCCGTATAACAGACGCACTCTGGCCAGTGGAAACGTAGGTAGCGGCCCTCAGGGCTATGAGCCTCTGGCCAGACGCTCTTTGCGTCCAGATGACAACAGCGTTTCCGTGGCCTTCAACCGTTGGTGGAACAGCCTGGAGCAGAAGTACCACGTCAAGTCGAAGCTGTTTATTCTACTTGTCGTCCTTTTGATAATCGGCGTTTATTGGGTATTCTACTGACCTGCATCATTGTTCTTATTTCGAATTTGTAATCTAGTTTGTATACCATGTTGGATTTGTTTTGTAAACATGCCCGCCACTGCGGTCATTGTATGAATCTTGTTTCGATGTAACTTGAGCTTGAGATTGACTAGCATTTAAGCTGCGTGTTATCCGTGTTCCAATAAAGCCCACTTGCAGGGAATCGCCACAGTTGAACACTTGCTCAAATGTTTTTTCTCCAAACGGCATCCGATGCACTCCACTTGCGGCAGGTGTTTGCCCAGATCGGATCAAGAAACAGCAGCAACGACGATCGGCTAATGATGGAAAAGTATCTGGAATGCGTGTACAACACTTGTCGGCATGACTCTGACCAAATGGAGGCGCAGTGGCAACCAGGTTCCCCACCTCTTATCTCAGCTAGATTGTTCCTGCTGCGATCTGAAATCCTTGCCTTGCAATCAGAATTAATAAGAATTTTACAAGTCGGGCCGGCGGGCAGTGTGCGTTATTTTTAAATCCTTGCCCGAGTTGGGCTGTTTAATTTTATTAACTGGAAATCGCACTTGCGCGTATTTCTTTATTTTCTTAAGGAAATTTCGCGCCATATTTAGCGGTAACAAGCGCGACCGGATCCGGGTCTGCCTTGCATGCCAGCAATAAGTTATGAAAATTGCAACATCAGTTGCTCGGGGGAAATGCCAGTTGTGCTGGGATGTTGCTGCCACGGCTGCCGCGGCCGCCAGTCGCCGCCGATGATGAATTCCACAAATGCATGGAACAGCCAGGCGGCAGATTCCTTGAAAAACAAAGCCATGGCCCATACAATATATCGTGTGGCTAATAAATACGCCGCGCATTGCTAGTTGCTCTTAATGAAATTAACTTCCAGGAATTACCTACATGGCAGCAGCGATGCAGACGACAACCACGATCACTTTGACGACTCTGGAGTGCAACAAAGCAACTGCAACAGCCGCAGCAATTCAAAAAGGCGACAATGGCTGCTTAGGCAAATGCAACAAGCCAGCGGCCATGGAAATTAAATGGAAGCCTGCAAAAAGTTTCACGCACTCGACACGTTAATAGAGTCGTAGCACCCAGAGCAAGATCAGGTCCAGCAGCAGCAGCTGCAGCGGCAGCAGCAGCAGCAGCACCAGAACCCAGCAGCAACATCAGCGCCCAAGAGCAACACCCGCGACCAGCGGCTTCCCATCTTCGGTTGCCGTTCAAGTGTGACATTCATGGAATATGATTTTATGGCCAAAACCGAAGCTTTTGTCTGCATCACGTTCGCGGCTGGAAGGAAAACAAGGAGTGGGCTAGGAAAGCAGCCGGATGAGGGAATGTGGAGGAGCCTCCGCTGGCTGCTGGGCCAATGACTTCCTCGTTGTGAGCCAATTAAAGACGCTGGTCGTTGTGGTCGCTGCTGAAATCATTTGTAATGCAACGTTTGGAATAATTCACGCGCAAATTGCTTGCGACTCGCGAAAAATATTGCAACATTCCACTGCAAATTTTACGATTATGCGTTTGCACCACAACACAAACTGCTGCTGCTGGTTGCTAGTTGCTGTGGCTAGTTGCTGTTGCTGTTGCTAGTTGCTGCTGCTGTTGCTGTTGCTGTTGTAGCAACACATTCGCTCGTAGGCGCTCACATCACATCAAATCAAATGTAAGCGGTGCCGGGCATTCAACGTTGTCAGTTGCCAGTGCTCCAGATAGATAAATCAGTCGGCTAATTGTTGCAACCTGACCGGTCTCCAAACTGAGCGCCTGGGAGCGTGAACTCTGCTGGGAAGGATGTGGGTACTCCCCTCCATCTTTCCCACTGGCTTCTGAAATGCCGGAATTTGAATTCCTAATCGAATCATGTTTTCCTACACATAATTAATCGTAAGGGATGACATTTTTATGCAAAGGCCCAGAGATCAGAGATCAAAGTTGAACATCGGAACAACGCATATGTGGGGAGATTGGACATTTTAATTCCATAAATAATGACAGTTTGTCTCTAAACAGACAGTCAGTGTCTGCCCACTCTATAAGACCGAAAGAAATCATTTATTTATTTATTTTTCAAACACGGTATGTGGGCTGTTACTGGGCATATTGGTTTTTGGGATGTTGTATTTCGCTTTAATAGCTACAACTCGGACTAGTTCTTAAGTTGGCTGATTTGCATCGACCCTGCGTAGTGATTCGAAAATACAAGAAACCCCAATGCCAATTGTAGGGTATCAAATAGCTCGAGTTATTAGGAAACAAAGTTCTGACTGGCTCCATGTCCGATCATCTCTGTCGCAGCGGCAGTGTCTTTTGGGCTGACTACTCGTTGTCAAGTTGTGGACCACAGCGACCAATCAGTGTCAGCTGGAAGTGGCTTTTTTAGTGGCCCAAAGTGATGAGCTAATCAACCTGACCTGACCAGTCCCACAGTTGCGGCCAGAGCGGAGTGGTGTGCCTATTTTAATAACATTATTTATGTATCTTGTAGTTCGGTTTATTTTCGTGTGTTTTGTGTATTGTTTTGTTTGATTTCACAGGAATTGGAATTGGAATTAGAAATGAAGCGAAACAAAGCGGGCAACGAGCTGGGTTTCCCTCGTTTTTGTTTGTATTTTAGGTGTCAATCGCATTAGACGGAAATCAGTTTTGCTTTTTATTGTACAAATTTATCGCATTTGTAGGCTCATTTGGATTTGGTTACCACTTTCAGTGCCCAAGACTGCGTCTCTCTGCTGCTCGGTTTTTATGTAAAATTAAATATTTTAAACTGGCCACAAGATAATTTCTGGTATACGCGATATGTGGTGGTTTGGCGGGGGAGAGTGTTTGTGTGGTCTCCGTGGGCCGAGCGGGCATCAAATAAATTATAAACCCATTTGGTTTAAACTGAATAGCTGACTGGCCGCGTTCGTTGTCTGAGTCTTTTGTTTGGATTTTTTTCCTTAATTTTTCCTCTTTCCGATCGGAGCCGCAGGAGCTACTGCCCCCAGCTGCAAAGTCAGAACTGGTTGCCCATAACAATAAAATCAGCAACACTCGCGACATTCCCCTCAGCCAAATATGGAATTTATAATTAATTTTTATGTCCATGGGATGCAATTAGGACGGGGAGCAGGAATGAAGCGGAGGGAGCAGCAGGCGAAGGGGGCAGCTGCGGGGGGCACATGGCAAGATGCAAATGAAATCAAGTCATGCCTATAATCGGATTTGTTGCTCCTCGTATATTAAGTTGTCACAGTTTCTATGTGTTCAACATAAACACAATTTGTGCTTAATCCACTCAAGAACCGGGACACAGACGCATTTTCCTGCAACTCCGCGGCTCTCTGTCCGCATTAATAATGACATTTTGTTGCTGTTTTGTCACATGTGCCATTGCCGATGAGGCTGGCTCACATTTCGCTGACCACAAGCTGATGATTGAATGGGG